CGTTGAAGACCACTGTGCTAGAGGCTCCTCATCGTCTCGGCCATATCTAGACCCACAGCTTGTTCGTGATTGTCCCTCTTGTGTCGGACAATCACGTGGATTGCGTGGAATAGCGCAGAACATGCTTCAAAATTGGTCATAAATCAAAAATATCTGTGTCATACCTGCAACAAGCTCACTGCGACACACAGCTGCGGGAGTATAACCAACCCTTGAGTGGGGGGAGGGTTGCAGAAGCTTGGAGAGGAGAGCAGCACTGTGGAGCAAAACTTCAAAACCCCCTGTGATGTCATGTTTCCAGAGGACCTTTTTCTTATGAACTTACCATTATGTATCACAGTCAGCGTTAGCCTTTTACATCAAAATTGCTTGATGAGATTAAGGCTGTCATGAAAAATGTTCACTTTGGTGAAGGTATAATGTTCACTCTCTCTGCAATGAGTCTGCAAAACAGTCTTAAATTTTGAAATAAAGTATGTTAAATTTTCAGCTTACATAGATGATTGTTTTTTAGTTGATATGACACACACACGCACACACACATGACATATGGGGACATTTCATTGACTTGCATCCATTTTATATGGCCTAACCCAAACCCTTACCCTTACCCTAACCCTAACTATTACCAAGATGTACCTAATCCTAACCTTAACTGAGTTCGCACCTTAGTCCTAAACCTAGCCCCAACTCAAAGAACAGAACTTTACCATATAGGGACCAGTTGAATGTCCCCATATGTACCTGTAAGTCCTCGCATGTAGGATATTTGACAAAATACTTACCTCACATTGTAGGTAAAACAAGACCACACACACACACACAAAACAAATAGCTGACAGGCATGAGTAGAGATAACTCTAGTCAGACATGCTGATATAATTTCTGATGCTGCTAGCACAGTCTGCAACATTCACAATCAAGATAGCAGCTCCCTCGGTAAGACTTCTACCATTTTGTGTAAAGAAATTTAAGAAATAGATTGATGTTAACTCCTGATTTTAGCTTCATTTAATTTACGTTTTGAATTTCAGTTAAGAAGCATTTTTCATTGCTTTTATCCTTTCTGAGCTCAATTCATACATGTCTGATTGTGGGGAGATTTTGTTTTTCACCTGATTGTTTCTTAAACACAGATTATGCTATATATTTTTTAAGTTTTACAACTGCTTTTTCTAACAGTACAGGATGTTCTCCAATGTCACTGTCATCTGTAATGCGACCGTCAATGTGACTGCTTGCTCCTACAGCACCCTTGAGGGGTGGGCTTACAGTCTGGTGTTTCTCCTCGGTCTCCTCATCAATAGTGCGGCTCTGTGGGCCTTCATCGCCAAACGAGCCTCCTGGACTGACTGCCACATCTACATGCTGAATTTGGTTGTGGCTGACTTTGCCCTCATCATTTTCCTTCCCTTCAGGATTTATGATGCCTTCTTCTGTCTACCTAAAACATTTCTCTGCACCTTCCTACTTTTCACTCACTACATCAACATGTATGCCAGCATCCTGACCACGACAGCCATCAGCGTCCACCGCTATCTGACCATCAGGTTCCCTCTGCAGGCTAGATCATGGAGGAAGAAGAAAATGGCAGCGGTGGCCATATGTTTACCCATCTGGGTGATTCTGGTCTCAGCTGTTGTAGTTTTTCGAAAAGAAAACTATCCTGACAAGCTCTGGACATGCTATGAAAGATGCAAAGATGCTCCTCTGCATCCACCGTTTACAATAGCCCTGGTATGTCTAGGCTACCTGGCTCCTCTGATGATAATCGTGTTCTGTTCCAGTCGAACCATCTGTATCTTGGTGAAAGAGCAAAATGAGTCAGAGGAAAAGAAAAGAATTGTTGAGATAGTTAAAGCAAACCTGATTGTTTTTCTTGTCTGCTACACACCGTTACACTTTGCCTTTGTGATCAACTTATTCTACGAAGTACCGTCAAACTGGATGTATGAATATTTACCCTCTCATAGGTTTTTACAAGTGTCTGAGTGGATTGCTTCCACAAACTGCGTCTTAGACTCTATAAGTTTCTACTTCTTATTGAAAAAGTTTTATATATAAATCAACGACAGCATAATGAAGCAGTCCTATGGTATTGCCTACAGTGTGTATATCGGTGTCTTGGCTTTTTTTTTTTTTAATAGTGACTTGCATACTGTTAAGTTCTTAAAAGTTGCTTGAAAGGAAAGGATTCTTAGAAACACTGACCACCAAATTTTGGTTTGCTAGTAGAGGCTCAGATTTATTTATTTTTTTATTGAAAACGCTCTAGTTTCAGCTGCTTTTGTATGTGCTAAAAAACAGGCTTATAGCGGACTATGCTTTTGCTGTAGCAGCTCCTAAGTTGTGTATCTTCTCTTGGTTATCAGACAGGCCTATTCACTTTTCTGCCCGTAACTGCATTAGACCCATCATCAATACTGTTTCTTTAAAATATTCTTTAATTTTAATTTTAACATTTTACTGTTATCATATAATGTCGTTACTCTGTGTTCAATAATCTGGTTTTAAACTGTGGATGTTTATTGTGCTATTTTGATAAAGCTGGTATGGTATGGCTTTTCAAAAAATCTGTGATGCCTAGTGGACAAGGTTCAAAGTCTATTTGGAAAAGAGACAGACACAGCATTACAGATCCTCCACGATGCCTATCGATGGGCATGAGATGTTCTCTTATGTGAATCTTTTGTCTCAAAACCTTCTGGTGTGCTTGGTGCTGAAAGCTCAACTCATTCTGATCTGGTCAATGTAAACACTTCCAAGCAATTTTTAATTAAAGTTTCTTATAGTGGGACAAAATGTGTTTCTGTAATCATTTCAGTTCATGAAATATTTGCCATTCTATTACTGTCTTACCCATTATCACATGAGTGATACTACAAATCATTTTGATACCTTTATGTCGAACACACTTTTATATGCATATTTAACTTTTGTTTAGTAGTATGGGATGACAGCATAAGACATGTTTTTTTATATAAGGTTTGTTTAACTTTGGAGTGTATTTGCCAAAGCAGCTTATCCACACTCTGCTTTAACAGTCAGGACACAGTTCTTTTGAAATGTAGGTTTAAGGTAGTGAAGCAAAGAAATAAGTAAGATGGCATGCCCTTAGCAAAAAGTAGTTTATTCAAGTATACTAAATGTGCACTAATTTCATACTTTAAATCAGGCACTGCACTTAGAGTTTAGTTATTCTAAACCATATTCCATATACTTAATTATATTACTTAGTAAACAATAGTATAGTCAAGTACACTTGACTATACTATTGTTTACTTTATTGTTTACTAAAGTATACTTTAATTATACTTTAGTAAACTTAAAAATGTCCAAATTTAGTTCGAAGAAATATTACTTTAGTAATACATCAAGTACCCTAAAAGTACATTGTTTGGTATAATTTCTAAACTTATACTTAAGTATTCTTAATAGAATTTACTTCAAGTATACTACTTTTTGCTAAGGGTGGGATTACATTGGATTCTGCATAATTCCTGTGGGTGTAAAAATTAATAGTAAAAGTAAAAATGTTTTCTTAATATCCTAAATTTTTATATTTCTTTATTTTCGTGGGCAACAAAAGAGAAAAATAAACTCCTTCCATCATTTTAGTCCTATTCCATTTTTGAACTCAGAGAATGATGAGTAATAAGGTGAATCTAAGCTATGTCACAAAGGAAACCTCTAAGGAAAAGAAACATAAGTGCAGCTTCAAAAAAATGTGAGTGTCGACTTTGCAGATTGAAATTAATATTAAAGACAAGCTGAGGAAAGTTTACTTAGTCGCAAAATAAACTCAAAACGGTTAATAATTGAGACCACAGTTGTCACGAGAAGCCAAATGTTGCTTTCAAGTTATGTTTACAAAAAGCCAACTGTCAAAATGTTATCAGTCTTAATTAAGTTGCACTACATACAATTTTTTTTTACTGTTTGTATTGAGATTTGTACATCTGGGATTGTGGAGAACTTTTGGTATTTCAGATTAGCTGTCGAATACAGGGGTGGCGTGGGAAAACTTTTCAGCGGTGTGTAATGGCAAAGACTTCCCACTTTATTCCAAAAATTGTCAGAAATGTTTTATTTCATATGTAAAATTAATTCTTTATGTTCGTACTTTAAATAATCAGAGATAGCAAACATTTATGGAAAATGCACACTTTTAAATAGAACAAAAATATCCCACGATGAGAAGATTGCTTTTGTCATTTGAAAAAACAAAAACCAGAAACATTAACTCTAATGTACAGCACTGTAGAAGTGCACAAATTTCTGCAGCATTATTTGTCATCTTGTCACAAGATTTTTGTTTAATTATGATTAAGCTTACGTTACATTTAGGGGTGAACGTACAGTAGTTGTAAATACTTGGCAGAGCAATGTAAAAAAAATTATTGGTTTATATTTTTTTCTTATCCTGCATGCCTGCATGCCCTACTACTAATATTCGCAAAATCTACTTCTATGTATTTATATATTTTATCGTCATCATATTGTTGTTTTATTATTATTACAGTCCTAGGAAATCATAATTCAGGATCAAAATGACTGATAATAAAATTCACATTCAAGTTCCGTTCTCTTTGTTAACAAATGCATCAGTTACACTCACTTCAATCAGTGTTTCTCTCTAGTCTCATCAGATGAATGTTGTAAATTCAGTTTCCGACAGTGATATTTATCTCCTTAAAAAGTTGAAAACTTCTTAACAGCATAAACTGATATAAAGCTATAGCCAGTATATTATATATATTATATATAAGAGCTGAATGCATAGCACGTTATGCACTTTAAGGTATTCAATAAATGCTAATAAGGGCAGCCATGAAAAAAAAAATCTCCAGTCTAGACAGACCGGAATTTTTTTTTGTTATCATAATAAGTGAGAACTTAGGTCTTCGTGTCACAAAGTCTTATTCTAGCAAGATACCAGCTTCAAGGTGCCCGTGAGTTTCTTTGTACCGTAGTTTTTTTTTTCTCTCTCTCTCTCTTTCTCGCTCCTCACTACATGTCAATATCTCATTTGTTGTTATTAGCAAGAAAAAGCCTGCCTGCACATGCGTCACTATCTGATTGGTAAGATGGCGAGTGCTGACAATCATTGCAGGGTAGATTGCAGGTATTCTTTTTTCCTTTCTGCTTCACAGTAAAAGAGAAAAACACTGCTGCACATGTGCACTTCCTGGATTGCATGCTGGAACCGGTGACACAATAGACTTGATCATTAAGAAGGCTGTGTCTGTTGTAGGTCTATCCTGGAGCCTTTTGTGACCGTTGTGGGGAGAAGAGCACTCAATAAACTGTTATCCATCATGGACAACTTATTTATTTAGTTTATTAGATAGGGACAGATACAACAAGATAGACAAATCGTAGTACAGAAATCTGATGTCTATATAATAGAGCTTATAGCAGAAACTAATTTGCAGCACTTGTCCCTAGATGGGTTTATAAAACAAAACTGAAAGTTCAATTCAGTAACAGTAAAGTTGACAAATGCAGCAAAGATTAAAAAAAACAACATTAAATTACAAACAAACTTAGTAATTAAGTTAAATAAAAATGAATACAGTAGTTAAAATGAACTAACCATAAGTACACTGCGTCCTCTGCTACATCCACTGCTTGGAGTGTTTTTTTTTTTAATGGGAAAACTTGTGAGAGATTTCAGTTCTGTTGGGAAAATGTTCCATAGCTCTGCTCCACCTACTGAGAATGCTGATTGGGCAAAATAGGTTTTCCTTTAAGGCACTTTACACTCCACCCTAACTGCCACAGATTTGCATTCTGTTCCCTCAGGCACTTAGTGGCACTGAGGCCAGTCCATTAAGACATTTAAAAATCAGTTTAAAAATGTAAAAATAAATTTAAATTGTGAATGATAAGATGCAAAATTTGGACTAAATGTTTAATAATAAAATCTTATAGGTATTTGGTTTAGGACCATATAGGCATAGACCAAAAACCTATAGGCGTTCAAGTGGTTTAAGTGTTGTTAGGCTAGTCTGTGATTAGACTGTGGCACCATGAGAGATATGGGACAGGATTGTGGAATTAAAAAGTATTTGTATATTTTCTTATGATCTTACTGGCCAGTCTGTATGTTTTGTGTGAAATAATGGTGAGCAAACAGGAGCTTGCAAGGGGACTTACGGATGGAATGAAGGCTCCATAGGTGCTTTAAAGACCTGTAGATTGATTCGGTTATGGTGAACTGAAACAGTTTGGACGTACAACAGGCACTGAAAAACAATTAGGTGCGAAAACTTATTTTGATTTCTAAAAGTAGAAAAAACATTGGTGTTCTCTAAAGCCCTGCCCATGTAGTTTAAAAGGGATCCTGAAATTTAACTGAAAAGCGGTGATGTGGCTGTTGACAGAAGAAATGTGAAGAAATTATGATTTGTCTGTTTAAATTGGATCAATTCCACTATTAGGATCAACCAAAATTGTTACTGATGGGTTAAACCAACTTTACGTGGCCAGTGTCTGTCTGTCTGTCTGTCTGTCTTTAATATATCGCTTAGTATATCTATCACTGGTCCTAATTAGTGCTGTATGTACATTTTAATATTTTGCACAAAAAAGAATATGTTCCAGCTTTTATTGCTATTGTGTGAGTTTCTTTCCTTGCTACTGCAGTAAAATTTCCCAGCATGAGATCAACAAAGTTTATCCAATCCATCGCATATATGCTCTGCCCAATAGTGAAACAGCCCACCGGGGAGCTTGCCGACTTTCCCGATTGGCCACTCCACCTTTGGATAAAACTGACTCGCTATTACATTTTAGCACAAAATGATTTCTCACAAAGTAGACCATTTGCCCCAGTGACAGCTACCCCATCCTTAGGGTTTATCTTACAGTAGGTGTTTTTACTTGAAATCTGTAATCATCATTAACAGTAACAATAAAAATACTTTCTGCGAAATACAAATTAGTTCCTTTTCTAAACCCATATTTCTCTCAAATGAAAAAACGTACAATATTCTCAAAAAATGTTTTAATGATGTAGTTGTGATTACATTTTTCAAAACATGACAATGTTTCTCAAAATTTAGGGTGACCATATTTTCATTTGGGAAAACCAGGACACCTTGGAGCGGGGCGGGGTCTGATTGAAAGAACAAATGTCTC